CCACACACACACATACATGAATCCTTCCAGGAAAGTTGGAGATTCAATTTTGACTTTTGTAGCCAAAAGTCTAATGACTAGCTCGCATTGTGAACAAGTTACGCATGGATAATCATTAAGTAAAAGAATCTTCGAGTTCTTTAAAGGTGTCCATGTGAGTTGTTTATTATTCGACACATCATTATAGCTCCTGAATGTCCAGTCTATCATGCCAAAGTATAAAAAATTTTGGATCAATGAACTTCTGGTTCGTGATAATATTTGATTCAACCATTTTTATAAATGTATAATACATGTCGATGGGAGTTCATGGAGCTTTTCTTTTATCTTCTTCTGGCCAGATACAAAAGAAGTTATGCAAAGATATTCAACATTATTTTCTTATATCGTCTCAATTTGATGTCCTTGCAACGGATATCTTTAAAACTAAGTAAATTTCTTTTGGATTTACTAGAATAAAGTGTATCTTCAATATATAATTTTGTATTATTTGGTAAAATAATACAAGCTATTCCGGAACCTTCAACAATATTCGATGCACCTGATATCGAATTAACATTATTTTCTGCTAATGTTAAGTCCAAAAAATATTTTTTATCTTGAAAAATAGAATGTATAATTACACTATCAATCAAGCAAGTATCTTGGTAATCCATCGTGAATCTATAACAAAACATATATATTTAAAAAAAACTTAAATTTAAATTTAAATAATTCAATATTATAAAATTAACAACACAGAATGAAGTTTCATTTTTTGTGAAAAGTAAGAACATATTTAAAATTGAATTTTTAAAACGAAAGGAAATACTAGAAAGTAAACTAATGTATATCTTCCATCACACCACCCCCAATCAAATGGTCAATATTTCCATTTCGATCAGTAAAGAAATTAGAGACATCCAAATAAGTCACATCAATTAGATCATCATAATCAGCAAAAATTGTCTCCACTTTCCCTTTTCCTTGATTGATTTTTGGTAGAGATCAATGTGTTTTGGCGTACGATAGGTACATGTCCAATGCCTTTTCATTCTATATTTAAAGCAATTTTCTTCATACTCCTTTTTTGATGTGCTACTTTCGTTTGCTTTGTACATTTTGAAATTATTGTCTTATTGCTAATAGTTTTGTTGATTATTTTGTCCATGATTTATTCCACGCGCACATCTGAGTCCTTTTCACGTCCACATCTTGATATTGTATTTGATTCAGGCAATACAGTATCATTTTCTTTAGGCACTGATATAGAACCAATTGGATGTAACCCATAATTTTTCATCAGCATTTCATTATTTTGTTCAGCCACAAGTATACAAGATATGAGTTCTGAGTATCTTTTGAAATCACGCTCCCGATATTACAGTTGTGGAGCACATTCTAGATGTGTGAGGTAGAAAAAAAAATTTCCAACATATCTTCATAAGTGATTTTTTCTCCACACAATGTCAGATTTAGACATATTCTGAACAGTTCGAAATTATACTCACTAACATTTTTGAAATCTTGCAAACGAAGATGCATCCACTCGTAGTGGGCTTTGGGGAGGACTATAGTCCTTTAATGATCAAATCTTCCAATTAATTTTTTTTCAAAAAAACCTGTGGATCTTTTTTAGTGAGATATTCAATTTTCAATCCATCGTGAAGATGATAATGAAGGAAGATGAGTGCTTTTGCACGATCTTGTAGAGATTCTTTGATTTTTTCTTTTATTGTCTCTCCTAAACCTTTTTGAGAAAAAATGGATATCAGTATCGAGTTACCATGACAAATAGTTTTTGGCAGATATGTTAAGTGCATTGAACTCAAGTTTTGTGATATTTGACATTTGATTAATTACATAATAAAGCAAAAAGAAATACAATTAGTTTCGAAAAATATGATTAAACATCAAATATTCAATACCACCATATGTTCTTCGAAACATATGCTATTTCGGGAGTACGTTATATTTTATTATTATTTCTTCAAAAGCAATATATCAATATTTTTCTGGAATATTGAAAATTATAATTTACGCTCTTCAGGAGTTAATAATATTCTTGTAGAATATTAATTATAATGCTGTGCTACTTGAGGAGCAACAACATGATAAATTATTAATTTAAAGTTTATAAAAAAATCTAAAAATATTTAATTATCATATAGACATTATATGAATTTATATAGAAAAGTTAATTACCAAAAATGTAATAGTAAAAAATCTTCCAAATATGAACGCGAATTGACTTCAATATAGACATGCCAATGGGACAAAGTAATCTTTATGCATATAATGAAATAATCATTATGCCTAAACAAACCCATGAATTGACGAAATACTTAATTGATATTAGTAAACCATAAATTGACCTAATTGAATAGGGTCGTAAATTGATCAAGTTGACTGCACCGTTTTATTATAAAATTTGGGCAGCTTTTCTACTATTAAAAAGAAAACCAAATAAATGGACGTATTATTATTTGCACGAATTGGATTTATTAACTTATGAATAAAGTCAGACTCGAGAATCGTGAATTTATGAATTGAATGCATGGATAATTATGATTTTGCACATTTAATAAACCAATTACATACATGAATTGAATACATGTTGACAAAAAATTCATGTCACCAAATTATTTTTGATACATGTGATAGATTATTATGCTTAAAAAAATTATTACTTTCACTAAATTTTGAAAAATTAAGCTATCGTGCTGATAACGTGCTGTAAAAAGAGTGAATAAAAGTAAATAAACTTATATGTATTATAACGAGAACCAAAACTCTATATTTATATAACATGATTATGAATATAATGATAATAATTTTTAGGGTTGCAGGTGTACAATTGTCATTTTATAGAACTTTATTAGAATTGTCATAAAACATTATTCTTGTTAAAGTTAAGCCCCTTTTACAAGGGAGATTGTCCGGGCACGCCACTTGTCCTCCTGTAATGCAGTCAGGCAATTTTTCTTGTACAGGTAGTAGGGTTGTTCTAATTAATTATAGATGTCTAACATAAACCATTTCCTCGGTAAAAAAAAATTTTATACTTGCAAAAGCTCTTTTATTACATAAAACTAGAGGTTTCAGGTGTAGAATTTTAATTTTCATAATATCAAGAAATCGAGGGTGTCTTTTGCTTGTTCATGGGATCAATATTGGCTAATAAAATCCCAATATTACTGCTTTGTTGTGATAACATGAAACTATAAAACATTGATAACGCCGACATGTTTCAAACTAAAAATTGCCGGGGCAGCCCGGCATGTCGCCATCCTGGGCCAGCCATGTGGCCACCAAAATTTTTGTTGTGCTCGAGGCTAGTGAACTCCAACAAGATCAAGAACAAGATTATCCTGATTGTTTTCCACTAGAATAAAATAAATTGCAAATATCTGCACCAAAAGTAGGATTTTGCACATTATAGTGTTCTTAAAACAATAAACGGTGAAAACATCTTATAAGAGAATATTTGAAGTAATAGCCAATATCAAAGGATGACCATCGGCGACCTATAGAGGGTGCTTTGGAGAGGAAAATCATCTCTCCCAAACTTGTGTAAATGTTCATATACAGCAAATCCTAAAACCTCGATCCGTGTAAAAGAATCAAATTGCCAAATTTCAACGAAACCAAAAATGTGTTCAAGTTTTCGGTTTATAAAACTGATTTCTAGATTTCTACTGTTCATCCTCACTAATCAACGCAAACGAGAATGGAGAAAATTTGTAACCATCTCCCTGGTAAAACTTGTTCTGAAACTCGACCCAATGAAGCCGCAAGGCGTGCAGGAAAGCACTCAGTGTTTCCATCACGAGAAGCACGCCAACAGTTGCAAATATAAATACAACTATGCCGATGATGAGGATAATGACGTTGTTGAACCTGCATTGACGCCACAAAATGCACTTAGTGCTGTTCCATACTCAACAAGATCTTAGGTTTTTATTCTTTCTAAATATTGTATAATACCCTCTCTAATTCAATTAGAAAATGCTCGTTGTATATCACAATTTACATATTCTTTTACATATTGATGAGGTGTCAAAAAAAAGTGGAGAAATATTTTTTTATTAGGTTGATGAGATTTTGACCCATTCAAATCTCGTCATATCATCTGTTGGTAAACAAATCTGTAAGATGTACATCAGCGCAACCGAATTAACTTTACCTAACATGTGACTAGCATATTCGGTGAAGTCACAACAATTTTTTTGTTTTTGTTCTAAAATTTTCTATTTTGTCGACCAAGGCAAACCAAGAGAAGGAAACAAACACTTACCCCCATGCAAGAAGTAAAACCTTCTCATAAAATACACTAGATAATTCCGAATGTGCGAGGCTGCATAAGATCGAAAGAAAACCAATGAAGATGGAAAGAAACAGATAAAATGTACATTAAGGGAACAACAGACACTGATTAAAGAAATCCTGCCATAATTGCAAATACTTTGTGCAGCTCTAAAAGTAGTTATTGGAAGGGAGAGGGGGGAAAGCTATTAAGCAAAAAAGTTACAGCTTCAAGTACCGTTGACAGGACAAAAAAATCAAATATTTGTTACTGAACGGAAGATTATTTGAAGAAAGATCATCTCACAGAGAAATAAATGTAAAGATTACAAAAATTGGAAAAGATCGCTTGGAGAGGAAGGATTTCCTGGCTCCAAGTTCATATAAAACCAACAGGAAAACCAATTTCTTTTAATTTTGTCCCAAGGATATCGTAAGTTTCTTTCCAAACATTTAAATATTTTTAAATGATTTTTCATTTTTAGATAATCAAGACGAATTCTTTGCACTCTCTTCATTAGAGAGACTGATTATAATATTGTAGGAGCCACAGTTCTCACAAGATTCTTCCTAATACAACGCTATTGAATCTGAATTATGATTTTGTATAGCCAAATATTTTGTGCCATTTTATTAAGAAGCAAGGGTTGTAGGACAAAAAAATCCACCAGCATTTAGCGTGTTAGGCACAGAAGAGAATTTGCAATTGTTAGATACAGACCTGAGGGCCCACAACCGTAGATATGAAGCTGTATTAGAAACCGCTCCAAGAACAAACTCTATGGTATGTATAAGTTGATGCACAAAAACTTCGCTGAACTCAAATTCCTCGTGTCCATGTGAACCATGGTCAATCTCTAATTCAAAAGAGTTACCATCTGTGTACTGAAGTGGTGCATAGGATTGACCTCGATGTCTCTGTAAGAGCATCAAATGGTAATTGATAAGTGAAGCAATATTTTAAAAGGATGACTAATAAGTGCAATTTAAGTCAGCAGTTTGGCGAAGCTTAAAATTGTTATTTTTAAGTCACTTTTTGTTCCAAACATGTTTGCACCTGTTACTTTTTCTTAGTCTTTAAGTAAAAATAGTTACTTATTTTGAAAGTAACTCTTACATTAGTAGCAAAATAGTAACTTACTTTTCAATCTTTGACCAATAAAAATGTATTTCTTCTAGAACGAACTTATTTACTTATGCTTGAACCTTTTAAGCTTGGCCAAACATACTCTAAATTCTAAACATACTTCCTCGTGTTGCTTCTTCAAAAGAAATGGCTTTGGAAACAGCATCCATGGTACAGCAACTAGTGCCAGTAATAGTAACACAATCTGCCAAAGGGTAGGGCAAAATGCTGAGAGTACATAAAGTATAACAGGATAAGCACAAATAGTCTTCAATTAATACAGAAAAACAAATTATCTAACCTGGAGGAACCTCTGGCCAAAAAAAAGCTGGTTCTCTCCTAAATCATCAGTTGGGCTCAGGAACATGTATATCATTACATGGTACAGATCAGCTTGAGAACCGGTGCACCACTTAACAATTATGAGAAGTGAAAGGTAGCCAAACAAGCTGTTCAAAAATATCATCTGGGGTACAAATTGATACCTGAAGTAGTGCAGTAAAGACACTTAGTGGATCACTTGATAACGATAATATTAGATATTAAAAAACACATTCAGGAACAGAATTTTTTCCGCACAACAAATGTAGTAAGTAATTGTGCCAACTGAGGAACATCTGCTTACATGAAAAAGTTCAACAACACAATCTAATCCTTACCATATATTCAAGTCATTTCCAAAAAACTTTGCATTATAATGACTCAGGACGATCCCAAGATTCATCTGGGCGACGCCCAAGAGAATTGACATTTTCATCTTCAAAGAGTTGAGGAATGGCAATTCACTGCGAGAACCATGCCACTTGGGATCAACACCAAATGGATAGGTGTCACGAACCTTAATTAATCCCACTGTAGAAGCATCCCTATGATAAAGTGATGAGATTATTTTGAGAATTGTACTGAATGAGGAAAGGTGATGTAACAAATTTGAAGCTAATTCAATACCTGCAGGTTGAATCTCTGCAACCATAAGCGGAGCGTCCAAATAGTTCAAATGGCACAGAAAAGAATTCGTTGTATATAAGTCCAGTGTATATTGAGAACAGTGCCATCATCATAATAACATAACGACCACCAAATGTCATCTCCATAATATCCCCAAGCTTCTGTTCTTGACAGAATCAAATTGAAATAATAAAAAAGGTTCAAAATAGACTAAAGACATAAATGACATGAAGCAGCTGTTTTTATAATATACTAGATAATTTGAACTTAAATCCTTTTGTTTCCTGTCAAAAGAAATATTCCATAACATTTACAGAAAACAAACATGAAAACATATGATATTAGAATCCATCACAAAAGTAACCCGAAGATGAATAATGAAGTATGGGACCCTAGGAGCTTTTTCAATGTAATTATTTTGGATTAAATCTTTCAAAAATTGCCAGTGCCAGTTAATGTATTATTTCGTGGCATGGGATAGGTTAATAACCACATTGGAAGGAATTCTACCAATAAGGCCCATGCTTCAGATCCTGCTTGAACGAATGGAAGATACTGTCGGTAGGGGTACATAAAATTATATCTTGCTAATTAGTACATTTTCATTCACAGATGATTCGAGTCATGAATAGTGTAAAAGATGAGGCAGACACCAAGTGTTTGAACTAGAGATGAAAGATAAGCCAAACACATATGGATAAGCAAGGTGATTACCTGTCTGGATAGTTTCTTCTCCCGGAATATGAAATACAGTGTTGCAAGAAACAAGCATATGCCATGGCCCCAATCTCCAAACATAACAGCAAATAGGAATGGGAAGGTAATAATGGTGAAAACACCAGGATTCACTTCCTGGTACTTGGCCACCCTGCAGTAATTGAAATCAATTTCGTAAATCATAGGAAACTTTGAATTGACAAGAATACCAGCGAAGTCACTATCACCATGCAATGTTTTGGTTTCAGAAAGGAAGAGTGTCAAAGGCAGCATCCTTGTGATTCTCATTAAGTTAGACGTATGCAATGAACAAGTGCATGGGACACCCATGGGGTTGGGGAAGGTTCAAACATTTCACACTGATCACTAAGAAGTTGTAACATAACAATTTCAAGTAGAGTCGAATGCTCATTTGAAGCAGTTTATATTTTGAAACCATGTTATTTTGCCCATTTTGAGCAGTTTATAACACCTTTGAAACTCATTGCATCACCCAAAAAAAAAAAGGAATGAAAATAGTAATATTTTTCCATGTCCACATCCTAGATTAGATTTGAAAAGAACCGACATTAAGACGAATAATGCACTCAACACCCAAACCCCAAGTACAAATAACATAAGTTCGAGCATCAATTTTCAATCCATGGATAAGTCCATGGCACAGAAGTTATCTTCTTGAGTCTCTTAAGATCAAGGCTACAAAAGCATTCTCCAAGACAATTTTGATCATAGATATTTACGTTTTTATCCAATTAGAACCCTTCTTTTTAACAATTTAGACAATAATAAATATATTGTCCTTTTTTTATCTTTCTCCCTTTCTCTTGAAAGTCCTCCTCGCCCCCGACTCTAATAGTTAAGAACGGTGCATTTGTGATGATAAATTTCTAGGGAGAAGCATAGAATATTTTTAATTATCAACTTTAGCTTCTTATGTATTTAATGTCTCACTGCCTATTACACACTCATTGAATTGAATGATATTCACTTTTACTCACCCATAAGCATCAACAATTTCTTGGATAGCAGAAGTGAATTTGTTGGTACGAAAGTAAGTTGGAGGTGATTCCTTGGTCTGCAAAACTTGGAATATAGCTCCAACTTGTGAACTGCTATCCATAGTTGCTCGTTGTAGTACATTTTGAATCTGCAAAACCATGTTCAAAGATGACAACCCTAAAATTTGACTAACACATATTGGCATCAAACAGAAAATTAATAAACAGAATGGTGATTATACTTGGTCTCTCGCAAAGACAGGACACCAGCCTTCTCCCACTAGGCACTTTGTGGTCACATCAAGACTGAGCATATTTAAAGTGTGGTAAATAGATTTTTCCTTCTTCACCTGTAAAAGTTGTATTAGTTTCATTTCAGTGATTATATAGTAATTTATCACGTAAATAACACTCATCAATTCCATATGAGAGAGAGATGGGTACAATAAATAATGATTTTATAACTGCTTAAGTAACCATGGACACTAACCAGTAGGTTCCATTGCTCAAATTCATAACCAATGGTCTGCAACAGATTGGCCCGGTGCAGTTGTCCAACATCAATAGTGGCCTTCAATTCTGAAAGCTTCCCTAAAACCTAGGAGCATACCAAAACTAATCTCAGAGAAAGCAACATTCGTAATGAAATAAGAAAACGTTATCTGTAATTGTACATGACAACTTGTGCATTTAACAAACAATAAAAGTTAACCATGATTTGCAAACCGAACAGAGATCATACGATAGCAATAGTATCCATTAATCTAAATAAAGAAGTAAGGAACATTAGAGCAGAACTGTTGTTAACTCTTAAGTGCAGCCTGGAAAACAAAGAAATCATAGCCAAAGATTGACAACTGGCATTTTCAGATAATCAAGATTCCATCATATACCTCTGTTATCATCAGGTATTGTTTGCCCAGATCATCTGTAAATGGATATCGATTTGCTCCAAATGCATCACATATTTTCAATATTTTGCTCTTTGCTCTCTCTCCAGAATAGAACACAACGAAAACATTTTTTTCAACCTGCAAGTCATCATATATCATTTCCTTGCATTAGAGAGTGAACATTTGATTGATGAAACTAACTGAAGTGTAAACAAAAGTACATATACTGTGCAACAAACAAGGTTACAAAATAACCAAGAAATGCAGTAGCGAAACATTACTTCTTTTCACTCATTTTTCTAATTTTATTTCTTTTAGGCAGGGGGTGAAAATTGGTTTAGAAGCCCATGTATATTAGAGTTTATCACACAATATACCTTATTATGCATCAGCAACAAGCCAACACAAACCAAAAAGAAGATAATTGATTTTCAACTTAGATAATTCTATTGTCAAAAGAAGCATGGACGATAGGATAACAATAGTTCCATCATAGTGTAAATTCAGAATTAGTGAAAGAACATCTAATATTACCTTATCTCCTGACACCGGATCAATCACTGGATCTTCCATTACCACTTGTCTAAGAAACACATTTCCCCTGGTTGCTCTAAACAGAATTCTTTCAAAAGCCACAGATTTTTCTCTACCAACAAGTCCACTAACAAATCCCAGATTCACTTGATTTAAGGGTTCTGTTGACATTTCCTACCATTATCATAAACACTATAATTAAACAAACATATAATGAAGAATTTCAACTGGAGTGGAAAAGATAATGATGATCCATTTAATAGTACTTGCTCAAGTAAGAGGGGACTATCAACAGATCCCTCGCCAAGGATATGTGCTTCAGATTCTTTGTGCTGAGCTGCAGCACTGCTTTGAGCTGAATGGAAAAACTGACTGGCCTGAACCAAGAAATACATAAATTTATTCATATTAGAGATTGGTAAGAGCTGTTATCCAACTACACAAATTGAGAAGCACACTTTTAATGTAAGCTTTATAACATGAAAGCTAAAGAAGGAGATTGACATTACTTTCTGTAGAACAAGCTTATATTCTAAAAGTTCATTATATGATCGTTGCAGCTTTTCATTGTTTGCATTCATCTCAACCAGCTCTACTTCAAGTTCTCCAAGTTTCACCTGTCCATATGCATATTTGTTGTAAAACTCTCTCATCAGTCCAAAAGAATACACAGCATAAAGAGCAGAAATCTTACAAGAATATACTACATAATCATAGGAATACACTCACACGGTTGCAGATACATATATATTGTACATGAGAATCACATACTACAAAAAACCTTTAGAGAAAAGAGTTGAGACAACCTCCAATTCGTCCAAATTGACATAGGGGCCCACTGAAGACCTTGATGAGGGCGATAAACCTTCCTTTATCATTTGATCGCGAAAAAAACGTAGCTTGCGGGCCATCTCCCCACATCTTTTGATCTGCATAGAGTAATGTGGATTTTTTCTCGTTAACTAGCACAATTAGAACACATAATTAAAAAGTAGCATGTCCTATGGAAAGTTCTTAAATCAGAATTGGTAAATGGTCAAAACTAGAGACATCGGAGTCTTGAGATAAAAGGTTTGGAGTTGACGAAAGATTCTATGTTTCTTAGAACTCAGAAGACAGCGATCGATGTCACTCTTTTGATCATGGCAACGTCAAGAACAAGATACTAGCATGACAATTTTATCAGCTGTTACAAGACAAATTATGAGGATGCTTACAATTTTGCTAAAACAAGACCACATGTGGTACAGGGGAAGCAATCGACTGTAGTATGAAAGCTTGTACTCAAAGCATGAGGACATTAGCACAAAATTACACAAAAAAATGTAGCAGGATTTAACTCCCAGGACAGGTTTTAGTTAAGAACAACATGCAGTACAAGAAGCTTCCTTAAAAGATTCTTGCACATCCAGCAACTACCCAAATAAAGCTTTTCAGAAACGAAAAATCTCAAATTCGGAGCTCTGAAATTGACCGATGTGTTGATCACTAAAGAGATTGTACCATGCATGATCAGCCGAGTCTATTACTGAGTATAATCCTCTTCTAAAATAAGCCATATTTTGGCGATGAAAGACGCTACCTACTACAATTTGTCTAGCATTTTTATTTAAATAAGGATAAGAACAAGTACAGAAGGTACTGAGGAAGCAAGAAACTCAGTAAAACATTTCGCCAAGACTTCGTTAAATTCAAAGTAAGATGAACAGTATACAGCTGACACATCAAAATTAAAATATCACTAATAGTACAAAAATTACAGTTTTCAAAGAATTTACCATTAGAATGCACGAAGAGAAAGATGAAACTAAACAAACCTGTGCAGCGTATGTTCTCTGGAATGGGCTCTTTTCTGCATTTAGCTGGCAAAGAAACAAATAAGTTAACATACAAAAGTTGAGCATCACATGTATCACTTGTAAATGAACAAGAATTCACAGCCAGTACAACAACTAATCCTAAGCATAGAAGTCAACAAAAATACGGTCAATTACCATCATATATGTTACGGAACCTTATAAAACAAGGTCAGGAAAATAATGAAAAATGCATTGTTTCATCACATGTGTTGACCAAGAATGCATGGAAGAACAGCAGAAGAACGACATTGGTAAACCTTTATGAAAAATTAATTTCATTATCGACACAAGATCGGCACAGAAATATGTCCCCAATTAATAAATCAAGACAATTAACTGTCTTTGTTTCAGTAGCAGCTTGCTTAGTCTATTATCGTCCCTATTTAAATTTTGTGCCAAGCAAAATCATATACCTCCAAACTTAAGCATTTACATATTAACCTACTAATTATTTTTAATAATCTCATAATCAACAGGTTGCAACTTAATTTAATTAATACACTTTCATACATTTTGAAAATCTTCAATTCCCAGAAAATTTCTCAAAATTTAAACAAAAAGCTGATCACACTGAACTAATATGATACATAAAACATATCATATAAAAATGACAAAAAAGGTAGTTTTTTAATCCTCCAAAACCCGACAGAGATCAGTGAATCGACAACAATTAGCCAATTCTCATTAAAAAAAATTGAAAAACAGAGAATTCGAAATCATTAAGAATAAAATTTCCAAAATGAACTTAACAGGTTTATGTGTATACATTATGAATTAATGTTTGTACACAGAATTGCTTGTAAAGAGATTCAGATATGAAAATGTATAGCATACGTCATTGAATTGAAAAAGGCCGAGATCGCCGAGATAGGAAATTGTTCGATGCGCTGATTCAAACGGAATAATCAATTGTACCAACTGCATCGGCTCCGATCGTAGCAGATCCATCGCCGGCCAACAACCTTCGTCCGCCACACTTAACAATGATAAATTTCAACAGATTAAATAAAAAAGAATAGAAACCTAAATTAATCGCGAAATGCGCTTGATTTTGAATCCTCTCCGATGTGATTTGACTAATCGGAGGGAAATTGGAAAATTGTTTCCGCGTTCAGAGACGAGTGCATTTTATATTCATTTTTTTTATTTCTTTATACCCAAGCGACCGACAAGATGGTGAAGTTTCAATTAATTACCTTTTAATAGAGTTATTCCCTGAGAATACAGGAAATAACTCACAAAATTTGTAAACGATGCTGTCGTGGCAACATCAAGTGCTTTTGTGTGTGTGTGTGTTTTTATCTTTGAATATTTGTTGTCCATTTCAAATTTTTTTATCAATTCTGTACAAATTTCGTGTACTTGTAGATTGATTTACAATCGAAAGCCCAACCCAAGGACGTTGTATTTCTCCATGTTAAAATTTCTAAATGGCCTTTTAACGGTCCAATTTGTTTTATATTAGTTATTTACTTTCAATTCTTTTTCATTTTGATAATTTAACTAATCTTTAAGGGAGATTTACAAAATTGATATGTTTGGTATACCGTATTACACAAAGTAGTTTTATTCGACTAATTAATCCTTTTATAAAACTCCGTTCGGTAGTGAGAGTTAGGCTATGTTATTTATTACCAATAACTAAAGTGAAGAAAAATAGAGAAAATATTGTACGGGTTTATATATATATATATATATACATACTAGGTGCAAGTAACGTGCAATGCACATTTGCCTAGTTTATATTTAAGAGTTTGTTTGATAGGGATTTTTTGATGAGTTAGCTTTCCAACGCATTTTGAATCGCCTTAATCGGATATCGGAATACAAAGTTATGATAAAAACACTGAAAGAAGGTGCAGCTGCCTGTTTAAAACAAGAAATTCCGTTACATAATCCGTTAAAACAACAAATTCCGCTAGTTTTTCCCCGTTACATAGCCACTTTTAATATATAGAATATATATATATATATAATGCTACTTCATAATTTAAAGATTCACTTATGAGTAAAAAAATTACTTATAATTAAAAACTCCCTTATAAATGAAAAAATCATTTATGAGACAATAATTAATTTCCATGTAAAGAAAATGTAAAATGTTTATAGTTAAAAATACTAAATACCTAAAAAATTCACTGATACATAAAAAAATTAAATATAAGTTTGTTTAGGAGAGATTTTTGAAAATCATTTTCAACTCTATATTTCATGTAATTCGTAATTTTTTCTTCCTATTTTTTAATCACATTCTCCAAAAAAATAAATTTTCACTTGAAAAATTATCTCTGAACAAGCTCTAAATTTAAAGGACATTGATTCATTTTTTTGCGTAAAATTTCCTTACAACTACTTATTTCTAAAAAAAAAAATCACTAAAAATAATTATAACTATAAATTTACTTATAGTATATGCAAAAATTATTGCTTATATAAATAAAAAATACTACTTATAACTTAAAAGTTCGTATGTAAGTAAAAAAAGTCAGTTATGAGATAAAAATTACTTTTATGTAAGAAATTCACTTATAAGTGCATCTCCTTCATTTTGTGAATTGCTATCCGGGTGAAATATAAATCGGAAAACTTTTGGTATAAGTGACGTTGATGTCCAAGAAAATAGACAACTAAGTTCTAATTTCATCTCAGATGAATTTCCTCTATAACTCAAATTTCATCTAAAGTTAATAAGAGAGACAATAATAAATGGGATAGAAAAAATTAAGAGAGAGAGAGAGAGAGAGAGATTAAATTTTGTTGATGCACCCGTCTAATTAATCCTCTACATTTATACACATTTCTTCACAATATTTATTTTTTTCCTATCTCGTCAGCTAGATATAGTCGCAGATATGTTGTATTGGAGCGAACTTTTGCAAATGTTGTCAATTTAGACCCCTTTTTTTTTTAAAGCAATCTACTTTAGAAATGGAGATGCAAGTAGAATTATTTACATAATTTTTTTTTTCATTTTTTATTGTACGATATCTAATACAGTATAACACCAAATGTATTAGAACAATACTTCATAATCCACCTTGGGCCCTGTTTGGGAGGGATTAAATTTTTCTACAGTAAATTAATTCTCATTTTCAACCACACAGTTTTCAATAAAATAATATTTTCCATCACATCAATAATTTTTTCTTCTTTTTCAACCACACATTTCCCATCATATCACTATTCAAAATCAATTTTTCCCTCAAAAATCTATCCCAGACAAGCTCTTAATTTTATCTCCCCTAATCCTAGCCTCTGTAATCGCACCCCTCTCGATCCCGACTCTCATAATCTTTATCTCAACTAATCATATTACTTTACAATACCATGTTTTCTAAGCTTATTTTTGGTTTCCATTTTTTCAAAAACTCATTTCAACTACACGTTATCCCTTAAAATAATTTTATACGTAAATCGAAAAAAATTCCTTATTTTTTAACCACACATTATCTAAAAAATCACTATTACAAAACACATCTTTGAAAAATGGGGGTCAAACAGGGGTTAATTTTACACTTTACGTAATAACTTTTATAGTATGATAACAAAAATAACTTTTGCTAAAAAATTGATACCGTGCCATTAAAAATAGTTATTAGACCAAACTACACATAACAAAAAATAATTAATAAAAGGTATATAAAGTGTTACTTTCATTGTTCAATTACTGTCATTTTCGTCTGAAGTACAAAACTTTTCAATCTAATTCGACATTCATGTATCCCTCGGTGAACCAACATCCTGTCGAGTTTTTTACTAAATCATTTACATAATTTTTTTTTCCATTTCTATTTTTACACAAAATTATCTATTTTTGTAAATTAATTATATTTTTAAGTTCATCTCTTCTACAAATCATGCTGAAAAGAAAAATTACCCACAAAGATACTAATAAAATGCAACTTATGACATTCTTTTATTGGACAATTAAAACAACAATTTTATAGCCAATGATTCTTTGACAACATTACAGGTGTCAACGAGGGTGGAGAAAAAATCTCAGCCAAACACGATATTAACACTTTCAAATTTGCATTAAAATTGAATGAGAAAAATAAAAGAGAAAAAAAGGGGCAGGAAAAATATATAACATCTACAAATTAAAATTCAATCCTCGCGGTAAAAACAGGCAATAAAGTTGATATTTTAAGCAAATATACAAATTCCAAAGTCATAAGAATGGCAAGAGTTAAAAAAATCTTATATACTTCATTACAACGAAACTGTATTTATCAAAACGTGAGAGAGGGAAGGAGTGGGAGGTCCAAAACAGATAGCAAAAGCAGAACAAATAACCCAATTGAAAACCTTGTGTCTTCTAATGCTGCTATCTGTTTGTTTATCGAGCTGGCACCCACCATGAACTTAAATCGGTTTTGCCAGTATAAACCCCCACGAACGAACAAGTGATCATAAGAATGTTGTTAAATCATCTAATCTGCGTAGGAGAACACAGTAAGCCAGATGCATCAGATCCTACCTCTGCAAGGTCACAAACAGTGCAAAGCTGCCCTTTTAGGGATGGAACAAAATGTGAATTGCAGTATGGGCATGTTACATCCTTTTGGCCCCGGTATATTGGGACATAGGTGGCTCCACACACCACAAAAGGATTTCTGAAGTCATAATTCAGTTGGGTGGCATCCCTCATATTCTTCTCGGCCGCCTGTAGAATTTGGCGGGCCAATTTCACTTGGTTTTCAGCAGTTGGATTGGTTTCCAGGAGTCGCCTAGCAAAGGTGGCTGCAGTGCTTAGATTCTGTGCCTTGTAGCAAACAGTCATTGCATTCAACAATGCTAGTCTCAAGTGGGGAGTCTGGAGTTTACAGTGGGTAAAATATGCAGCCAGTTCCTGTTGACGAACCGGATTGTCCTTCAGTTCCCTCCTCTTAAGTTCCATCTGCAAACCCAGAACGTACTCCTTTACAATTATAATCAACTCCTTGACTTCATCAATTTCCCTTCTTGTTTCAACCACGATCAGGGGAACCGTGTGAAGAATAGCCAGGAAATGTCGAAGTGCTTCCGAAAATTTCCCAGCAGTTGTTGCCTTGTAACCGGCCTTGAGCTTCTCTTCCAATTGAGAAAAATTAAACACGAGTGCAGGTGGGCCCCGTACATTGTGACTTGCTGACTCACTCCAACCCCTCTCAGCTGCCATCAAGATCACCGGGGCCAATGAAAAGGCACTCAAATAAGTGTGACTGCCCATGTGAACATCAAGAAATAATGACTTCAAAGGAGAGAAGTTTCTTATCCCTAATTGTCTGCTCAATAATCGCACTGCTGTGTCAAAGTTGCCCGCAGCTGCATGTTCAGCAGCAAGTGACGATTTCTGCAACCAAATCTGACTTACTGGCATTCCCGGAGTGGGAGTGACAAATACAGAAGAACGAGCAGTTGAAGCAGTCTTTGGTGTTTCGGGAGGTAAATCCAGATCCTCAAGATCCCATCCTCCCTCCTCGTTTTCTTCCTGCACGTTCTCTTCATCCAGTACCATACTAATATCTCCATTCTGCAAGTTCTCAACCTCACCAATATCCAATGCCTCACCCCAGTCAGCATCTGCAGCCTCTTCATTATCCTCGTGTGCATCTCTGCCTGTTTCGTCAAGACCTCCCTCGAAAATCCCTTTACTGACCATCAACAAAGGCCAGTCTCCGGCACACAAGACAGGACTTGGGGGTATCAAAAGAGAAGCTTTCCTCCCCTGTGGCAAAGAAGGAACATTATCCTCCAGTTCAGCAGCTAGACGCTCAGCAGTATCATGGAGCCCATGGACTGAGGCTGTGAGGTATGCAAGGGGCAAATGACCAGCATTCTCCAAAATTTTAACACGTTCACGGACATCGCCAAGGTACAAAGCATCATGGAACTGGCCCATCACATCATTTTTTACCTCGGCAATTTTCATCATTTTCGACAATTTGTCCAAATTCCCAGTTATC